ATTAAAAAAATTTTATTACTAAATTATTTAAATTATTGATTTTTTTTTCGGGTTTCTATAGTTAACCAAGCTAATATTTACCTAATTTGTGGATACAAATATTGTTGATTTTGTTATAGAAAGCGTGGATGTTTTGATGGAGAGGAAAGATGGCAATAAGACGAATAGTAGTAGAAACTGTTTACAGTACGAAGTTCCCCTTGGCTACAGCATTGAAGACATTCGTCCCAATGGTGGCATCCAGAAGTTCCGATCTGCTGCTTACTCCAACGTACAATTCTCTGCCCTGGAAATCCCTTTGTCGCTTAATTTACATTATTTTTTTTTTCTCTTAACATTTTTTTTCTTCTGTTTGTCTTTGTGTTTTGCTGCAGTGCATCAAGAAACCATCCTAATAAGCAAAATAATGAATTCATGTTTTAGATTAGTATTTTCTTAATTAGTAAATTTCCTCCTTTCTTTTTCTTTAAAAAAAAAAAAAGAAACAAAAAAAAAGGGAAAACCTTATGAAGAAATGGGTTCATCTTCACCTTCTTCCCCAATAATCGGGTTTGAAGGCTTCGAAAAACGTCTCGAAATCAATTTTTTTGAACCGCCCGTCTTCGATGGGCTTGGTCTTCGGTCGTTATCTCGGGCCCAGGTTGACTCCATTCTGACGCCCGCTTGCTAGCTGCACCATCGTCTCTGAGCTCTCCAACGACTACTTCGACTCCTATGTCCTCTCAGAGTCTAGCCTCTTCGTGTACCCAAACAAGATCATCCTCAAAACTTGCGGTACCACCAGGCTCCTCCTCTCCATTCCTCCAATCCTCCAATTTGCAAGTTCTTTGCTATTCACTGTTTATCGTGTGTCATTTACTCTCGTGGCTCCTTCATCTTCCCCGACCACCAACCTGCTCTTCACCGTAGCTTCTCTGAGGAAGTCGCTATGTTAAACGAATTCTTCAGCGATTTAATTGCTGAGGCTTATGGGATTGGCGATCCAGTTGTTCCTCACCGGAATTGGCATATATACTCAGCTATGTCAGGAGAAGGGAAGCCATTGATGAATGGTGACGATGATGGGGTCACTCTGGAAATGTGCATGACGGCGTTGGAAAGAGAAAAGGCTGCCGTATTTTTTAAAGGATCGGGGAAGTATAGGGCACAGGAAATGAGGAACCTGTCGGGAATTTCGGATATAATTCCGAGTCATGTGATATGTGATTTTGAGTTTGACCCGTATGGATATTCCATGAACGGGATCGAGGGACGGGGACCTGCTTACTCGACTGTGCACGTGACCCCAGAAGATGGGTTCAGTTACGCGAGCTACGAGGCTATGGGGTTGGACACTGGGTCTGTTAAATTGGAGGATGTGGTCCGTCGGGTGCTAAGATGTTTTAGTCCGGGTGAGTTTTCTATCGCAGTCACGTGTCGTGGTGTGGCCCGGTGCCGGGCTGTGGAGGATGCTAATGTGGAAGGGTATACATGTCAGAACATCGGGAATCAGGAGTTGCCAGGAGGTTGGTGGGTGGTGTATCGAAACTACTCGGCGAGGAACAAAGAATGCGGCGTCACGACACCGCCTAGGCCCTAGAGTGAGCTTGCAGGCCTGGAAAGAGGTGGCAGAGGAAGAAATGGGCGGCGCCGTCACCTGTCCTTATGTGTCGTTTGCTTGAGGCCGCTTCGAGCCTCGTTCTCGGTTGAAAATAATGCCTATATGTGGGACTCCTTCCGACATGATGTACCATTACCATCCTATTCTTTTTTAAATAGAATTTAACATTTTGTGCTAGTTCACTCCATTTTATCTTTTCGGTCTTAGTCTGCTTTGGTCTTGATGTGATTGATTGCTGGTCTAGATAAGTTAACGTGTGGGCCTCAGCAGGCCCATCGTATTACTACTGCTTGGGGTGCCAACTGCCAACCACTTGGACTGAGTTGAGGAAGTGGTCAAACATTTGCCCTCAAAAAGTGCCTGATACCGCTGGGCTCGAGTTTGAGCCCAGATCTCTCCTTCCTCTTACTCATTGAGTCTGCTTTTCCACTTCCAGTACCCTGAGTGCGATATTTCAGATGGAGGGGTCTGTGAGTTCAGACTCTGTGACTGGTAAGAACAGGAAGCAGTACCATAAATGCAATGGGACCCCTCACATTAAATTTCACCCATTCTCGTGTTGTTAGATGGCAATTTACCTTAAGTAACTCTGTGTTCCAATTTTTGGCACAGAAATGGGAAAGATGGCTAGCTACAATCTAGGTGGGGCAGCATGTAGTAGAAATTTGACCTCAGGCCTTGTATAGGGTAGGCAACAAAAGGGGGAAACTCCTGCCCGCGGTAGCAGAGTTGCAAATTTTGGAATGGTAATTGAAACAGACATGTTACCTTCCAGCTACCGGTCCACCATGATTTTGTAACCAGTGGTGTTGCATTTGCATGTCCATCTGAGATCTATGCATGCAATGTAGTCATTACATAATACCAAAAAAATACGGTCATTACACTGTTCTGTTTGAGTCCCTTTGTCCTCTGTTTCTAACTTACACAAGTTCATCAATTTTGGCTGACGGTATCAATTTTTCTTCAACTTTGTTTTGGATGAGTTAAAGACCATGTTGACATTACCTTTTATAAATCTAAGATGACCCCTAATCGGATATTTGAATATCTTGAGACGAATGAAAAGGAATTTATAAATGAAAAGGACTAATAGCATTTGCCTGATCGTGCGCTTAAACTGGTCTGTTTTAATATAAGAGCAAAAGCTAACATGAAGTCAAGGAAAAGGGAAAGGACTTGAACTCACCATGAAATGCAGAGATAGTAAAATGAAGTAGCAATGTTGGTAATTGTTAAATTATTGATATTCTCCAAAAATCAAAATTTTCCCCGGAAACAAGCATCAATATATTAGAGGTCCCACAAAGATATGATCATACAAAATAAACCAGCCAAAAACTTGAAACACAAAACAATTAAGTTTCACGTGCATACAAAAAACCAAGAGGAAGAAACCCCAAATAGCCGGTGCCGTACGGCGCACCATGAGAACAGTACGCTTCCATGAACACTCACACACTTCCTCACACTCAGACCTTAACTTTCGTGTCTTTGCCTCTGTTTTTCTTGCTCAGTTCTTATAATAAAATATAGGGCAGCAGCTGCATAGCCTATGTCTATGTGCTAATTAAGTGCACTGTGTCCAAATCTAGGTCCCTTTTTTTTTTTTTTTTGCCAGAAATCTAGTGCACGCCACACCACCTGTTTCAGTGTGATCCCTGTAGCTCTTCTTGTTGCATTGGTCACCTCACCCAGAACCCACATGATAAAATTCCCAAAAAAACCCACAAACACACCGTCAGAAGGAATAAAAACCCACAAGAATAGAAGCATACCCATAAGAAATTTTCATAGAAAGAAAATCTCAAGAACAAATTTCTTTACCTAATAAACATTTCTTCAAGTTTTGTATACATGTTTTTTTTTTTTTGGAGAGAGAATATAAAACACTGACTACAGCAAAAAGCTCACACATTTCCCTAGAAGATGTACAGGAAGAAATTACAGGGTACAGGTGTAGAGCATTGAAGCCTACATCTTTAATATTAATAGAGAAATTAAGAAACCCTCAAAAATTTTCCTAATTTACATTATTCACTAATAGCTTCTTTTCCTCCCTAATTACCCCATAATTTGGCTAAACCTCAATGTTGCTTGACTAAGAAAGCAAAGGCACAAAACCAAGTAAACCAAAAGAGCAAGTTAGTGTGACTAACAAGAAAAGATCAAAGGGGGCCAACATTGCCGTTTGCTTTGTCAACATTATCAAGCTAAAGAAAAAGTAATTAAGCAGTAAAAAGAGAGATGGAAAAATAATTATATAATAGTACTACTATTAAGAGATTGAGCCGTCCCGCCAATATCACCACCACCACCACCACCACCACCACCCGCCGTCACCGCAGGGCAGAGAACAGGCAGAATGAAGAAAACAGAGCTTGGTGCAAAGATAGGATCTTACATGAGCCCTGGATGCCCATTTGCTTCACAGATACTCCCTTGGGGAAGCCCAAATTTTCTTCAAATTTCCATCTAGTAGTAGAAAACACCATCATATTCCACCACCCTGGAAGACACTCCCTCAGCCTCTTCTCCTCCCTGTCACCATTTCACAAACACAATAAATGATCAAAACAACCACAAAATTAAAGGGAAAAAATACAGAAACGAAACGTGGGTTAAAACCGGTTTTCATACGTTTTTTCCTTTCTGAGAAACCAAGAAAGATGAGGGATTTAGGATGTTTTCTACGAAGTCTGTGTTTGGGAGGACATAATGAGGTCAAGCGAAATGAAGAGAAATAGCGTATGTTGTATGGACGGAGGATTTGGTTTGTAATTTTGCCTTCAACCACACTCCCAAGTAGCCCCAAATCTCCTCCTTCCTCCTTTTTTCTTGTCCCAGAAGCCCCCCGGTTAGCTAAATTTGCGCAAGCAACCTTTGTCCTTTCTTCTTTCCTTGCTTACCCTTCATCATTCTCCAAAATTCCACTCTTACCCATCATCCCAACGTTCAAAAATCACGTTCTTTTGTTCTTAAGTACCATAGACGCATTTTTTCAAGCACTGTTAAAAAAAAGAAAAAAAACTATAGACGCATTTAGTAAATCTTTTTATCAATAATTTAGATTAAAATATTTATTTTAATTTTATTTATTTTTAATTAAATAAAATTTATTTTTATAATTTTTATATTTGTTAGTAATAAAAATATAATAAATATATTTTAAATTTATATTTTTAAAAGCACAGCAACACATATTTAAAAACTCAAAAAAAAAAAAAAAAAAACTACCAAACAATTCATTAGAAATTTTAAAAACCTGACCAAACAAGCACCATTGCCGAGGCTTATATTTATCGAGACTACCACCCTACAAATCCTAAGGCACATTTTGGTCAACCATCTCAGGTTGAATGGGCCCCACTTAAAGGGTACTTTGGTAATTTAAATTAAGAGTATTAAACATGTTCCGATTTTCACGCACCCTTACATGTGCAACGAAGCATAAAGATAGAGTTATAATTTTTTTTTTATAATTTTGATATATTTTAAAATAAATATTTAAGTTTATAAATAAAGTAAAAATATTAATTATTAAATAATATGAGAATTATGTGAAAAAATTTTCTTTTAATTATATTCTAACAATAAAGAGGAAACGAAATATATAAAGAGTAATTTAATAATCAAATTTATTAATAAGTAAATCTTTTCTTGTAAATTAAATTTATAAAGCAAGTTTTTAAATTGTTATATAAATAACTTAATTTTTTTAAATACAATAAGCTAACATTAAATATGTTCTTAAAATTGTTTAGAGAAAAATTAAATTCAATTTAAAAGTGTTGATATGTAATAGTAGTTGTTTGTTTGTTTTAATTTTAACATTTTAAAAATATATTAAATATTTATTTAATTAATATTTTATATATTTTAAAATAATAAAAAAATACATAAATCAAAATTAAAACATTAAAAAAAATGTTACCCAACGAAATTTTAACATCGACTATTACAAAAAAGCTAAGCCAAGCACAGCTTACAATAAGTAAATAGTAAATACAAAAAAAAAAAAAGACAACTGGGGGTATTTGGGTAATTTGGGGATAAGCGTCGGTACGTCACAAGTGTACGTTGATGGGAACAGGATGAAGCATTATGGGCAATGGACGTGAGCAGTACAAAGGGCGTGGTTTTTTGGTTTTTGCTTCTTTTTTTTTCTTTTTTATCTCATTAACTACACAGGTCGAGGGACTATCATAATAGAGAACAGCAAGAGACAGAATGTCTGAGGAAAAGTCAGATTTTTAGAGAAAGAGAAAAATGAAGTGCTGGGCCTGCGGGGTAGAAAGTGAGAAGAGTTCTTATACCAAGACGGTGATCAATCAGGAATCTCTGATCGACGGCCCTGATTAAAGTTCATTACACTCTGATCATGATGATCTAGGTTAATTCAAAACAATCAGCAAAGACCAAACTGAAAAAAAAAATAAATAAATAAATAAAAGAAGGGAAAGGATAGAGAATATGGGTATCAAGAAAATGATCTTTTCATGAATCATGCAAGAACAACTTGGGTGGTTTCTAGATTCCGAGAGTGCCTGTTTTTTTAAAGGGTTTTGAAGGGCCAATTAGTGGAATTTTTTGTATTGTCTATAGAAAAATTAATAATAATAAATTACATTATTATGATTTTTTAAATGTTAAAATTTTATGTAAAATTATACAAATATTATCAATAAGTATTTCTCACATGTTAATTTATTAAGAGTTTTTTTAATATTTTTATTAAAATTTTTGACATTTTAATTAACAATACATCTAGATTTTTCTTAATCTCTTACTAACAAGTATATATATACTTTTTTCATTTAAGTTTAAAATTTGGTTAAAAAGTGGCTTGCCCTTTTTAACATTAAAATGCTTGTAAGCCTAATATAACTCTTTATGAAACTTTTTTATATGCATCTTAAAAAAATCATCAACTATTTGGTTTGAAATCTGAGTTATTTATCATCTTAAATAGAGGTTTAGAGTTTAAATTCTAATTTTTACACACAAAAAATGTTTTAAAATAAATATTT